ATTCTTCTTTTTAAATCAATTTCTTGAACAGTTCATTTTTCTTTCTTTTTTCTTCACGTTGGAAAGAAAAAGAGAAAAAATGAATCGTGCAAGAAGTTCAGCTAAAAAGAACAAACTAATAATTTCATGAAGAAATCACTCAGAGATAGCACAAACGTCCAAAATTAGAACGTAACATATTTTATAAAAAAACTTCTAAAAGACTTCTTAAAGACATCTTTGCGAGAATCATCTAAAAGACATCTTGTATAAGATATTTATAGTTCGTTCTTATATTTAAGACCATAGTATAAGTACAGTCTTAAATTAATCATTAAAATATTCATAATAATAATTTTTATTTCAAGACGAAATAACGTCTTAGAACAGAAAGTTAACTCTGTGATTGATTTATGACATCTTATGACGGTCTTCGAAGAACAACTATGAATATTGACTTTAGATATCTTGTGCCCCAATTTTAGATTTTGTGTTGTCTAGGCACGGAACTCTACGGAAATCACAGAGAGATTCGTACCTTCAGTAATTTATCGTAACGGGATGCCGGAATAAGAAATCTACCGTCTTCTAAATGCATCTCGCGATTCTCTAATAAATTGTTTAACACAGGCAACACGTTCCGCTCTGCTTTTTCAACACCTTCGATTAAGAGAACTCGCCCGTTGGTCGCAGCCCTTACTGCGCTCTGATCATGATAGTACGCGGTACCGCTTTTGATTTCTCTCCTCTGCTTCAAATCCGCTTCTGTCGTGTCGCGGGTAAGTGCTATGAATTCTAGTTCTCGTCCCGTTAATTCTAGGAAGGCAAGCGCGAGCTCGCGCCTCTTTATACCCGGTCCGCCCATCAGAAACATATCCTGTCGCAAAACATCTTTCTGGAGCATCCATTTCAAATGCCTCAGCGACTCCTGAGAGTAGGTACTTAATACTGTTAAAAAAAATAAAATAGCAGAAAATTAAATTAAAAATAAAAATAAAAAATAAAATAGCAGAAAATTAAATTGAATCCTTAACTATTACAAATATTAACAGGTAAATATTAACAGTAACATTATATCGATATTATAATTTCAATAATTTCTTACTAAAAAAAATAGGATTGTTTTTTCTGTAACTAAACTAATATACATTTTTGGAATTTATAATAAAATAAATATATCTTAGTTAATGCAAACTAAAAATAAACTAAAATAACACAACATCAATGTTATAATTTTGTAACAATGTAATTGTTACACTATGTGTTATAGTTGTATTGCTGAGTGAAAAATTATAATATTGATGTAACGCTACTTTCAATCTGTGTCAATTGGGATATTTGATATTTGGCAATGCGAGAAAGAAAATACTAATGCAGTCTAATGCAAAATATCGATTGTATAACTTTTTCTCTAGAATGGAAACGTGAAAGTGAAAATTTTAATGCATACACATACTTCTTAAATTTTTTAGAGTGAAATTTCATTCTACAGAGTGAAAATTAAGCCAATCTTGAAAAATAACAATTCAATTTCAATCCTTAAAAGTGAGATTTTACTCTTCAGAGTGAGATTTTACCCTTAATTTTAGAAAATATACCTACATACAAAAAATTGACTCAGTTTTCACTCTTTAGAGTGAGATTTCACTCTAAAAAATAGAGATTTCACTCCAAGAAATTTAGAGAGTATGTGTATATATTAAAATTTTAACTTTTTACATTTCTGTCCTAGGAAAAAATTATATGATTGATACCCAGAAATAAAAAAGCAGATTTAATGTTACAACATGTGCTACATTACATTCATATTATTGAATGGGACATTATAACCCAAGCAGAATAACAAATCACGATAACAGCAAAATGATACTAAAATGAAAATCGAAAATGATTGAAAAATGACTTTTATTGATCATTTTGATATCATTTTAATATTATGACTTGTTGTTCTGCTTGGGAATAATCATGTAATCATTGTTAATTGCTATTTATCAGATAACTACAATCTTATAAAGTTTAAGCAACAAAATGCAATACTAACAGTATTTTCTTGGAACGTATTCTGGATTGCTTGCTGGCTTCACTTCTTTCGATACGTCAGCGATAGTCACAACTATATTTTCTAAAAAAGATAACATTAAATAATTAATCTGTGACATGAAAAGAAGAATAATAGTAAGAAATCGTCAGGTGAAGTTAGATGCCAAAAACTCACCTGATTTACAGCGTACGAAAGACGACAGGTTAGGCCAGAATTTACTAGATCGCTCCAAAATTCGATCTGCTGTTGACAAACGGTAAGAATTCCGGAGAACAGATAACATCTCAAAGCGGCGTCTCAGATCCTTTTAAAATCATGCTATCGACAACTCGCGACGATTATCAAACGCAATTTAAACGGAACAAATAACAAGCGTCTTAAAAGACGCCGCAAAGTGTTCTGAGATAATCACGCACTCAAAATTAGTTAAATCTCGTAAGTATTATTATTTTCTGCACTTTAAGTGGAAAAGAGGAGCTTTGTATTGTATTTATTCGGTCACACGTTATCGGGCGATTTAAAGCATAAATTTAAATTTGTGATTTAAAGACATAACCAAGATCGTCGAGCAATCACGTGGTCGAGATTACATGAATGACAATGCAATCTGGAGCAACACGTGCGTCACACGCATGTGCGCAATGCTTTAATGTATTTTTATTTGTGTATAGCGCACACTTTGTACACTTTTTTGTTACTACGATTAAAATAAATAATGACGTAATTATAAAGCAAGTATACAGAAAAAATCGTAAATACGCGAAAAATACAGAATGTTTCATTTTATTTACGAAATTAGATATTGACGATTCTCGTAGATCATCAAAATTTCAAAACAATTTGATTCGCAGCTTTTTTTTCAAATAATCTCACTGGAAATGTACATTATAATAGTAAATACATAGAATTTTTGTTTTATTTCATGATGCAATGAGTTTATACGTGTCGTACATGTGTACACTGTACAGGATGATTTTTAATATGCATGTTGATACTTCAGGACATGAGTCTAAAATACATTGAATGAAAAATGTGTACTAAATTTTAAAATGTACTAAATAATTATTTGAATAATACTATATATAAAGTTTATTTACAGAATATATAGTATAATATATAGGAATAAATATTTGTTCAAAAAAATACTTCTAATTAAATGAAATTAATGTGTATATTTATATATTAAATATCGACACTATAATATTTAAATAAATATTTGGTACAAATATATTTTTCTCTCATAGCGTTTTTCACTGGCAGAATTAGTGCGCACTCAGTGCATATTAAAGCTGTTGTACATTAACCTAATCTAACTGTAAAAATGAGAGATCTCAATTAATAAAATACGCAATGTATATTTTATCAAATACTATAATAAAATATAAGGATTTCATGGTTTAATTCGTTTCTATATTTTTATGAAACATACATCTTTATGTCGATTTGTGTATCGGACTTTAAAGTGCATTGAGTGCGCATCAGCTCTGCCAGTGAAAAACGCTATTTGTATAGAAAAGAAGATTATAAGAAAAATTTTTTCGTTTCTCAAATTATATGACTTATGTTTATGTGATATTCTTTTTTATTTTAAACTTTAGATATATCCTGAGACATAAATATATAATTATTATCTATAATTAATAATCGCCGTATATTAGATGTTACATGGAATGGAGTAGGAATCAAAATTCGCGTCGAATCAATCATAATGAAGATCCGCGAATAAAATGAGAATTACATTAACATATTATTTTTTTCCCTAATTTTTATTATATGTTTTGTTATCACATTAACCAGTATTACAATTCACTTAAAAAGTGACGCTAGATGCTATAGCTTTATGGTTGATGTTTACTTAGCCATATATATAATCACTAAAAATTGTAACGTTAATAAAATCACAAAATCAAAATAAAATAAAACATTTACTGATAAATTTGTAGACCATACACTCCTTTATATATCAAGATATATATATATTAAAAGGTCAAATTTTAATCGATATTGATTAAATATGAAGCAAGCATTCAGTAGCTGCTAATAGTAAGTGTACACAAATTTGGTTGCACATATCACACATGTACAAAAAAGAATATCGCTAATTCTATTCTTTAAACAATAATCAAAACTTCTATATAAAACTTTGCAAGAAAATACTATCCTATAACGCATAATAACAATTTCATATTCTCTCTCTCTTAATTGCTTACTTAATTTATCCCAGCTATTGAGAGAGCATTTAAAATATGACATACATTATACATAGTACAAAAGTTAAGTTAGAGTTTAGTGCCTATGCGATATATCACATATTTTTATGAGATACATAGGTTTAAGGCCTATTTACATTATTTCCAAAAGAGAAGAATCAGATTAAAGCATACACATTTCCGATTGCTGCGAAATTACGTATAGTCATTGTATAATAATAATTTTACATTCGTAAATTTACGCTAATAGAACGAATCCGTTACGGAAAGATATATATATCGACATTGACGATTGATATATCAATCATCAATGTTGGTATATATATATATATATATATA